CTTTCATGTCTGTCACGTGCTCAGGGTGAACCTGCTCTCATCTATGAAAAGCAAAGGGTGCCAGTGGCGGACTGCCAATTCTGGTGTTCAATGGCAAACGCCAATCAAGCTCTATGGTGCTGAGCAGTGAGCACAGGGCCCACTAGAAGACATTGGGTCCTCAGGCCACCCTCATGAAGTCTGTTTCTGATTGTTTGGTCAGACATATACCAGTGGTCTGCTGGAGGTCATTTTGTAGGGCTCTAGCAGTGCTCATCCTGTTCCTCCTTGCACAAAGGAGCAGGTACGGGTCTAGCTGATGGGTTAAGGACCTTCTACAGCCCTGTCCAGCTCTCCTAGAGTGACTGCCTGTCTCCTGGAATCTCCTCCATGCTGTGGAGCTTACTGTACTGGGAGACACGGCAAACTTTCCGGCAATGGCACGTATTGATGTGCCATCCTGGAGGAGTTGGACTGCCTGTGCAAACTCTGTTGGGTCCAGGTATCACCTCATGCTACCAGTAGTGACACTGACCCTAGCCAATTGCAAAACTAGTGAAAAACAGTCAGAAAAGATGAGATGGGGGAAAAAATATCAGTGGCCTCCAACTGTAAAACCATTCCTGTTTTGGGGGTCATCTCATTGTTGCCCATCTAGTGCACATGTTGTTAATTTCATTAACACCAAAGCAGCTGAAACTGATTAGCAACCCCCTCTGCTACTTAACTGACCAGATCAGTCTCCCGGGAGTTTAACTGACTTTTTGCTATACTCTGATTTAAAAAGTGTTCCTTTTTAATTTTTTTGAGTAGTGTAGCTGCGATGTTAAGTGAAAGCTGCTGAACTGTAAACACAGCAATCCTTTTTGGTGCTGGTTGATGGCCGTTACAGAAATAAAATAACCAATCAAAGGGTCTGAGTAGTGTGCTATGGGGTTGTTCAAGTGTTGTATTATGCTTGGGCACATTCCTTAGGCCAAGTATTCGAAATGCATCTATATTTTCATCTGATGAGGTTTTTCAATCTGAAAACCAACATATTACACAAAATGACATTACGATTCATTAGAGACCACAAATGATAGAACTCTGATGCATATATCATTTAGGAGAGCCAATGGTTTCCATTAGTCTGCTGAACCTGGTATTATAGGCATGTTTGGTGTCTGATTGTTATATAATATTATTATTATTATTATACAGGATTTATATAGCGCCAACAGTTTGCTCAGCGCTTTACAATATAACGGGAGACAATACAGCAACAATACAGTTCAATACAAGAGGGATAGGAGGGCACTGCTCCTTGGAACTTACAATCTAGGAGATATTAGTGTAACCACGATTTAGGAATGTAAATCCATCACAGTAGTGTTTATGGATTATGTATAGCGTTTGGCTTTGGTAGTAACAATCCCCAGACTCAGGATGTGTTTTGCTCAAACCATTCAACAGACTGTTTTACAACCGGTTTACAACAGAGACATTAGGAGTTTCTTTCTAGTTGACCTGCGTTGTGTCTAAAGCCCTGTTCACACTAATGCGGTTTCAGATGTAATTTGAGTCGCACAGAACCACATGACAATTGAAATCACATTATTTTCAGTGGTGCCCGTTAACATCGGTATAACTCGGCACATTCTGGAAATGGTTCCTGTACTGCTTTGGTGTGACTTCAGTACAATTTTGACCCTATGGCATATACAAACCACATCCAAGTTGCACTACAGAAGTGCTCTGAAATTAGGGTCAAAATCTGATCGCAGCAGTCTGAATCTAACCTTAAGTTGGTGGTTTTGTTTTGATAAATGTACTACCTCCCATGAATATCCAGTACACGCATGAGGTTTGAGTTGGTTTTTTTTGTTTTGAACGTGTGATTTTTTTTTTTTTTTTTTTTTTTTTTTTTTTTTTTTGGGAAGAGTGGCATTGTTTAACACAACTCCCCCCAGACAGTAAAAAAAAAATCGGACGTAAACCCTATTTTTTTTATGTTTTACCTACAGGTAAGGCTTTAATAAGAGTTACCTGTGTTTTAGTCAAGGACTGAAATCGTCCAGGCGTTATCTGTTCCTGTCCTAATTTATGACGCTAGCTTTGGAATGTGCGCACATTGGAAGAGACTCACGCTGACACACAAGTTCAGTCTATGAACATTTCTCGTTTATTATAATGAGAAAGTGAGCTTATATATGCAGAATGATGCGAGAGTCATGTGACAACAGCATAAGCATTATATTAGTCTTTGATTGGTCATTTCCACACGAAAACAATCTCAGTCATGGTATAGGTGTGATCTTCTTCCAGGCCTTATCTCATAGGAAAACAACATTCCTTTGTTACAAGTTGGCAAGGTGGGAGGGGGGCAGTGTGTGTGAGCAGACCTTTTTTAAGCAAAGATTTCTTATAGTACCACAAAGCCCAGCAGGCAGAAAATATTCACACAACATATGTATTCAAGTATAAAAGTAAATATTTATAAAACTTATAGAAATAGCGCATATATATATATATATATATATATATATATATATATATATATATATATATATATATATTCAATAGGAAACGAAATAGACATTTTACCAAATCCATCACACCTGTAGGTACTATAAATGCCTCCTAAACGTGCACCATTTAGGAGATTTTTACTGTAGCAGTGCCAGTGATGTCACCAACGCATGCACACTGCGCTGTCAATGGACGACACACAGAGCCATGCCGTGGCTGAAACTCCTACACGCATGCACGGGAGTGGCGTCATCATGGCTTGGTCAGTCAAATGCCCGCTGCCCACAAACCCAGAAGGAAGACTGGCTTTGTTTTCAGGCAAGTCTTTCAAAGTGTGCTAAAATGCAATGCATGCTACGAGATTATGCTCTGAACTTGCAGTGAAAAGTTTTTTTAGGATACTTTTTTTGCGCTTTTACTACCACTTTAAGAGTTTTTAGTTCCATTTTAACTCTCTATTGAATGAACTGAATTTTGCTTGGTTGCCGTAAAGTACTGTATTTTGCTAATTGTTTTTACATTTTATTTTATTAAACAAGTAATATTTGTGTAACTCGAACCTGTGTGGATCTGCACAATCATTTCATGGAAAAAAAAACAACATATTCTTATTCATGTAAAGTCAACATTTAAATCCAGTTAGCACCAGATTATAGTGACCTTCAGATTATGCAAAGGTCAGTATGCACTCAGGAGATCATCTAGCATTTCTCTGACTTCTAGGCTATTTAGAAATTCCGATCTGATTATCATCTTAGACTAATGTACTAGGTATGGGTAGAAAGCACTGATCATAGAGGACTGTTTTCATATGTTGTGTCAAAGAGGTGAGGAGTGATTTGCAGCATTGTGGGATCACAAAAATATTTATTGGCCGTTTGGGACACTGTTGTCCATGGTTTGCTCAATAATTGGTTGTACTCATTACTTAAACGCTTTCCCGTCGTCCTATAGCAGAAATACTGCTACAGGGCAGCAGGGGTTTGCAAAATCGCATATAAATGCGTGATTTTGCAGTTCTGGGTAGGGAACTAATTGCGCCATTAGCGGCCTCACCTGTTGCTCACTTGGTCCTGGCTGGTGATTCCCCGCCAGCACCTGGCGATCCAACAATACGTCCAGTGCAGAAAGTATTGTATTCAAGTGCAAAGTAGGGCTGCACCAATACCTCCTTCTTTTTTTTTTTTTAATCGGCGAGTACAAATACCGATACCTGTGCTTAAGTACCCACCGATACCGATTACCTTCGGTGTGATTTGAGCCCATGCTAAAAGACTAAATAGATTGAAATCGCACTGCAAAGAATCACATGTGATTTGAACAGGTATGTGGTGCGGTTTCTGTCCGAATTTGAGCATTCGCTTTGGCTCAAATCGTGCTGCAAATTGCACCACACCCACAGGGAAACCGCATGTAATTCAGACAGGAATTGCACCGCATTCCTGTACAAATCACATGCGATTCTTTGCAGTGTGATTTGAGCCTATTCATTTTGTATGGATTCAAATCACACCGATTTCAGGTATAGGAGCATTTTTAGAAGTACTAATGCAAATGCTTAGTATTGGCACTGATACTGGTATTGCTGCAACCCTAGTGAAAAGAATGTCTCACTTCTCTGTAATGGGCACTGGAACCCATGGATTCTGGTTTAGTCACACCGTGCACCTCCACCACCAAAAACGTGCACTCGCCTTGTTGTTTGACCTATAATCAGATACAGGTCTATATGCGCTTGATACCATCAATCATCTGGGGTCATCCACCAAGCTTTGAATAGGTGTAGGTCACTCAGAGGGATAAGGTGTATGTTCCCTTTTAAATGCCAGCCATTAGTATGGCTGGGGCTAAAGTGTTCACTCAAAAGAAGAAAATACTTCCCACAGTGGAATAAATGTATTAAGCAGCAATAAAATGCATAAATATTACACTCACAACAGACTCCTAAACCGTATTCGATGTGTGTAAAATCTCCACTTCTGGTAATGGCTCCAGACTGTGACATCAACCAGCTTTTAAACTGTTTGTAGGATTACGTGGCACTTTAATTCACATCTATGCAGACGTGGTGGTACATGGTACCATTGCTTGTACAGGTTGTATTATTAGTTTAGATTATATTTTTTGTAGTCCGATGTGTTAGCAGCACAGCACTGTTTTTATTACTTAAAAGAAATTATCTCCATTTGGCCACAGACCGCAAAAAAAATAAACTCATGGTGGATTTAATAATGTATACACTTTAATGTCACTTGAACTGATATGAACTGGCATGATGATTCTTTTTCTGCAACGTTTCTTTTTTCCTTTTTTTCTGGCCATTGCCGCTAATAAAATTGTCCCTTTTTACTTTTCCTATATGCCATTGTAAACCTGTAAGGAAGTAATTGTGGTTGTTTAGGGCAACTAGGACGGGGTCCTACTCCATACCTTTTTTTTATACGTGAACTGTTAACTGTATGCTTAAAGTATTGTTTCCTTCTGAATTCTCACTTATTGTTTTTATCCAGCTGTAATAGTATACAGATTGCCATGGACCTGGAAGTGTAGCAAGCTGCTAATGAAATTTATACATGCTGGGCTGCACCTGACCGCGGCTGTCCTTGTTATAATAGCTTTGGTGGCCGTTTTCGACTTTCACAATGCCAAAAAGATACCAAACATGTACAGTCTACACAGCTGGGTTGGCTTGGTGGTTGTCATCCTTTTTATGCTGCAGGTGAGCATTTTTTGCACGGTTCCATCTCAAAAATATATTTACAATCTTTACTTACCTTAGCCTACTATGATTGACCATAAATCGGGAAGGGTAAAATTTAGTTTTTGAATGGTTAGTTCTCGAATAGTAACCCTCTATCCCCGAAACCTACTTCATCTTATTTATGGTTTTTTTGTGTGATACAGTAACATTTCTGCATTACAGATATTTCATTTTTGTCTTTTTTTTTTTTTTGTAATGAAAAAATTCATGTACAAAGGTCGGAGAAACTTTTCAGCTAAAGAGGCTTAACAAAAGAAATGAGTGACATGTTATATTCAGGAAACCTCCTTTTTTTCTAACGCTCGAATATATATTCATTCTCAAGCAGTTTGCAGTTTAAAAAAGTAACATTTATTTCATCCTGCAGCTGCTTTTATAACTGACAAAAAATATAATTGCAATATTAAGTCTTGCAAGATTTCATCCTGGCAGCATTCAGAAAACATAGTTCCTTCTTGTAGGCGGTATAATAGGCTTAATGATTTTCCCAGAAGTGTATTCAGAGGTTCAAGTGACAATGAGAGTATCCCAGGCAATAAGAGTTTCATTATTGCTGAGATGCTTTTTTTTTTTGGAATAAAACATGTAAAGAGATGCAGACGTTAGAGATTTTTTTATGACATCACTGAGATTGTTCAGATGGTGATAAGGAAAGGCAGACCCTTCTATTTAGCAATCATTTTTATAAAGGATATAATTTTCTTTAGAATAGAGGAAGGTGTGAAACTGTGAGAAATCTTTTTAAAACCTTTAAAATGTATAGAGTTCTTCTGCAAGAGATTGCTTTTTGCTTTTTTTTTTTTTTTTTTTTCCCCCCGGTAAAACTGGAATTCCAATTTAGATAAAATACCTGTGCACTTTTGGACCTCCTGTACATTTATGATCACATTGCAGGAAGATTACATCAATCATGTGTAGCAAGTAGAGATGTGCATGATGGAAAGCTTTGTTTAGTTTTGGATTCACTCATTAAGTTAATAATTTTAGTTTCTTCCTATTTTGTTATGTTAGAATGATTTGTTTTTTAAATTTGTATATTCATTTTCAAATTGATTTGAAATTCGAATTTCAGAAGAAAGCTATATTTGTTCTATTTTTTTTTTTCTTTTTCTATTTTATCTTATTTTGAATTCTTTCATTTTCTAGTCTATTCTGTTTTAATCTTCTGTAGTCTGTTCTATTTTATTTTGTCCTACTCTGTTTTATTCTGTTTTTATTCTATTAATTTCTATTCTGTTCCCTTTTTTGTTCTGTTCATTTCTATTCTATTAAGCAGCCCAAGTAGGAATTATCGTCTTATTTCACTTTTATTCCTTCCTCTATTGCAATATGTTTCCATTTCGTTTCATTTTCAAATTTGGACAATTCATTTTGTTATAACTTATTTTGCGATTTATTGAAATTCTATTCTATTGTGATTCAGAAATTCGGATACATCCTAATCTCCGAATAAATAAAATTGTGTCCGAATTGTGATTCGTAACAAAACGAACATGTCTAGTAGCAAGAGCTTGCGCTCACTAATGAGGCTTTTGATGATCTCTACTCATTAAGAGTCTCCAAAAGCTCATACATATACAGCAACCAGAGGTAGTTTAGGCTCAAGAGGTCAATCAGCTTTTCTGGTGGAAGAAGGAGGTGAACTACCAGGTTGTAATAGAGTTGTCTAAATATTAAGGATGCATTCTCTAAAATATAGTCTAAATATTAAGGATGCATTCTGTAAAATATAATGTCAGATAATTGAATAGCCAGTAGGAAGAGTGATTGCCTACCAGAAGTGGGCAGATTAGAGAACTCAAATACCCAAGATTTGAGTCTTCAAACATAATAAAATAATTTAACTTTTCATCATCTACTTAAAGCTTTTTTCAAGGACACCTAAAACTATCCTGGTGATTATCTTACACCTGATTTATGGGCCTCAGGATGGTTTACAGGAACTTTTTGTTCTTCCTTTTTTTTTTTTTTTTTTTTTATTACAACAGATTTTTATTGGTTTTTATAAAATTAAACAGGGCACTTCAGTGCACAGGATACACTTTTGTCCAAAATGAGCATAACAGGCTTTAACAAAAGTATATATAGAATATGAAAATATTGTGTTTGAAAACATCCTGAACCAAGAAAATACTGGAACTACATACCTAAAATGCTGTTTTTTTATTTTCAGATTGTTGTGAGTATTGTGGTTTTTCTAATTCCAACCACCCCTGTCTCTGTTCGAGCGGCCCTCATGCCAGTCCATGTTTACGGCGGCCTCCTGCTTTTTGGTGGAGTGATTGGAACAGCTCTTATGGGAATCACAGAGAAGCTGATATTTTCATTGTAAGTTTAAAGTGGAGTTCCAGCGGTTTTTGTGTTTATTAAAAGTCAGCAGCTACAAAAATTGTAGCTGCTGACTTTTAATAAACACACACTTACTGTCCTGGGGTCCAGCGATGTTCTCACCCGCGCAGTCCCTTTTCTCCTTCTGTCCTCCATGGCACCGGCATCTCTAATGTGGGCACCAGAATGTGACAGCTTGCAGCTTCACATTCTGGTGCCCACTGCGCATGTGCTAGTCGCACCGCGCCTCCTGATTGGTTTGGCAGTCTCCTGGGACCTGTGAAAGTTCCAGGAGACTGCGGGAGCAAGGAGGGGGTCATACTTCTGGCTCACTTCGCCATGGTGAACTGAACCAGACGTTGGAGCGGCTACCTGTCAAAACCAGGTACCCACTACCCCCCCCCCCCCCCAAAAGGTGCCAAATATGGCAGTGGAGGGGGGGGAGGCAAATAAGTGGAGCTTCTACTTTTTGCTAGCTAAACATTTTAAACTATATGGACTACATGTGACATTCAGAGAGACATCATCTGTGCTTAAAATTTTAATTTAAAATTAAACATTTTAAAACTGTATAAAAAAAAAATGGTGTCAGACACCTCTAAAATAAGTTTTAAAAGTATTGTTAAAGCATTCTACTCGTTCATATTTTTTCCATAGACCTATAGTATAATCAGGGCTGAGGGGTAGAAAGAAAGGCTTCAGAAAAGGTAGAGGGGTACAAAAAGGGCAGGACTTACAAACTATGTTGCTGAGTTTACAGCTCGTATTTAGTAACAGACTTCCTGCCCTCTTGCAGTACATGATCACCTGATTGTAAATATTGCGCAAAATTAGGAACATATCCTACTTCTAATAAGCTGTCTATGGTCAGCCTAAGGGTAGTGAGGTCCAGATCTAGGAAGTCAAGTCTCTGGCAGCTGAACCTCTGGTTCTACTGCACACATAGGAAAGTGAATACCATGGTTAAAATGTATGTATCTAAACCAGCCTTCTTCAACCAGGTTTTGGATCAAGCCTACCTTTTAGTTACACAAAGCCACAGGTATGCATTACCATTTTGACCTTCTAGCCACCGACATCCTAACAGTCAATGAAGTTATCGGTTGATAAGGAGGATGTCAGGCATCTGCACAGGATCCTTGTTTACCCATCTCCATCAGCACTGATGTCACATTAGCTGAGTGAGGGAGAGATCCTGAGGGAGAAGAGAAACTTTGGAATACTAGCTGCGGACAGTACAGGGGACGACCAGAGACTGCGGACAGTACAAGGGACGACCAGAGACTGCGGACAGTACAGGGGACGACCAGAGACTGCGGACAGTACAGGGGACGACCAGAGACTGCGGACAGTACAGGGGACGACCAGAGACTGCGGACAGTACAGGGGACGACCAGAGACTGCGGACAGTACAGGGGACGACCAGAGACTGCGGACAGTACAGGGGACGACCAGAGACTGCGGACAGTACAGGGGACGACCAGAGACTGCGGACAGTACAGGGGACGACCAGAGACTGCGGACAGTACAGGGGACGACCAGAGACTGCGGACAGTACAGGGGACGACCAGAGACTGCGGACAGTACAGGGGACGACCAGAGACTGCGGACAGTACAGGGGACGACCAGAGACTGCGGACAGTACAGGGGACGACCAAGAGACTGCGGACAGTACAGGGGACGACCAAGAGACTGCAGACCTTTTGGGGAAGGAGGGGGAGCGGGTACCTGAATTTGACAGGTACCCGCTCCCACTTCCGTGGAGTTGTCCTCCCTTTAGTGTGGGCAAATGTTTGTTTGCTTTGGAAGAATAAATCCATGTTGGGTGTCTTACATGTATGGATGTTTAGTTTTTTACATTTTAGAACGGAGTGCCTCAAGATAATTTTTAAAGGGTGCCTTGACTGAGAGAAAGTTGAACACTGATCTAAACTAATACTATATACTGGGTACTGGCTGCAGTGAAGAGAATCTTTACGGAAATACTGTATATATGCTTGGAATAGAAAAAAAATGTGGGGGGCACACTTTGGCCTTTTTGATTTGTGCGTTAAAGGACATTGTCCTGGCACTAAGTATAGTATCAACTTTAAGCAAAGAAGAGATTAAAACTTCTCTGATGACTTCACTTGTATAAAGTTGTATTTTTTGGAAGACATAATACTTGCTCTATAGCCTATACATTGGTCTCAGATTACTAGCAAGAGGCTGAGGGAGACCAAAGCACATGAATGTCTTCCTTTTCTTGAATTTCAAGCTAGAGTTGAGCTTAATCAAACTATTACACCATTCACAGTCTTGGCCTGGGATCATAGTTGTCATCAGCTGGAGGTATTGCCAGGCATTGAATCCACTTCACAATGTAAAGTTAGTAATACTAGATCAGGTTTCGACCTTGGTAATAATTCATCAGCTATTAAACTGCGGCATAACTGAACAAGGGTTGTAGTTATCCCATTATACGGCTCCTTTCCTGGATGCAGTCCATGAAAGGATCATACAAATATATACTGTACTGATGTCTTTTATCACCAATATCACTTTCTTATTAATGTATTCATCAGTTATACTGGGACACAGTAAGTATTTACTTGGTATGCTGAAAGTGGGTGCAGCTCATCACAATTACAGCAATTTACTTATAGATTCATAAAATTCCAAGTTAAATGTTTTAGGCTTATATTTCTTTCCTTGGAGACAAATTAGACTGTAATTTGCTTGAGGACAGTGTGTGTTCTGCCATATGTTAAAGGATTCTGTTTATATTTGAATAGGTTTTAGTCTGCACTACAAATACTTGTAGTGAGTCTCCTTCCCCACTAGAAGGGTAACTGCTAATTTTGCCTAGAGGATGAAGAATAAGGTAGTAGGCACTCTTCTTTGCTATCTGATGGTCCAGAATGTGAATGGACCCTTAGCATCCTTCTTCCTCCTTGTTTTATTTCTGTTTTGGGTTTGCATTCGATTATTTGCAAAGAGAGATCACACAAATACTTACAGTGGGGATCGAAAGTTTGGGCACCCCAGCTAAAAATTTGTATTAATGTGCATAAAGAAGCCAAGGAAAGATGGAAAAATCTCCAAAAGGCATCAAATTTCAGATTAGACAATCTTATAATATGTCAACAAAAGATAGATTTTATTTCCATCATTTACACTTTCAAAATAACAGAAAACAAAAAAATGGCGTCTGCAAAAGTTTGGGCACCCTGCAGAATTTATAGCATGCACTGCCCCCTTTGCCAAGCTGAGACCTGCCAGTGTCATGGATTGTTCTCAATCATCGTCTGGGAAGACCAGGTTATGTCAATCTCAAAGGTTTTAAATGCCCAGACTCATCTGACCTTGCCCCAACAATCAGCACCATTGGTTCTTCTAAGCAGTTGTCTAGAAAACTGAAACTGAAAATAGTTGACGCTCACAAAGCTGGAGAAGGCTATAAGAAGATAGCAAAGCGTTTTCAAATGTCAATATGCTCTGTTCGGAATGTAATTAAGAAATGGCAGTCATCAGGAACAGTGGAAGTTAAAGCAAGATCTGGAAGACCAAGAAAAACATCAGACAGAACAGCTTGCAGGATTGTGAGAAAAACAATTCAAAACCCACGTTTGACTGCACGATCCCTCCAGAAAGATCTGGCAGACACTGGAGTTGTGGTACACTATTCCACTATAAAGAGATACTTGTACAAATATGGTCTTCATGGAAGAGTCATCAGAAGAAAACCTCTTCTACGTCCTCACGACAAAAATCATCGTTTGAACTTTGCAAATGAACATATAGACAAGCCTGATGCATTTTGGAAACAAGTTCTGTGGACCGATGAGGTTAAAATTGAACTTTTTGGCTGGAATGAGCAAAGGTACGTTTGGAGAAGAAGGGGCACAGAATTTAATGAAAAGAACCTCTGTCCAACTGTTAAGCATGGGGTTGGATCAATCATGCTTTGGGGTTGTGTTGCAGCCAGTGGCACAGGGAACATCTCACGAGTAGAAGGAAAAATGGATTCAATAAAATTTCAGCAAATTTTGGATGGTAACTTGATGCCATCTGTGAAAAAGCTGAAGTTAAAGAGAGGATGGCTTCTACAAATGGATAATGATCCTAAACACACCTCGAAATCCACGGGGGATTACATCAAGAGGCGTAAACTGAAGGTTTTGCCATGGCCTTCACAATCTCCTGACCTCAACATCATTGAAAATCTATGGATAGACCTTAAAAGAGCAGTGCGTGACAGACAGCCCAGAAATCTCAAAGAACTGGAAGACTTTTGTAAGGAAGAATGGGCAAAGATACCTCAAACAAAAATTGAAAGACTCTTGGCTGGCTACAAAAAGCGTTTACAAGCTGTGATACTTGCCAAAGGGGGCAGTACAAGATATTAACACTGCAGGGTGCCCAAACTTTTGCAGACGCCATTTTTTTGTTTTCTGTTATTTTGAAAGTGTAAATGATGGAAATCAAATCTAACTTTTGTTGACATATTATAAGAATGTCTAATCTGTAATTTGATGCCTTTTGGAGATTTTTCCATCTTTCCTTGGCTTCTTTATGCACATTAATACAAATTTTTAGCTGGGGTGCCCACACTTTCGATCCCCACTGTATAGGTAAATCATTTGTTACAAGTAATGACAGATGCAGATCAAGAAAAAGAAAATAAAATATAACAAGAATACTTAACTAAAGATGCTGTTTTTGCCACGGGGTCCCTCCACTATAAGGGCCAATGATCAGAACAGATGCATGCTTAACGCAAGCTCTGGGTCGAGACAAATGTTTCCAGTCTAGCTGTGTGTTATATAATGGACTTGTGTGTAAGCAATCAACAACCCACCCCCCATGTAAACATGATGACCTTCTAAGAAAGATAGCACATTCCTGAAAGAAGAGTAGTGCTCTGGCTTGGCTTGTCCAAATAGCTTACAATGAATTTCCTTTAGTCAGCTAAGATAACCACAGTATTATTATTATACAGTATTTATAAAGCGCCAATAGTTCGCTCAGCGCTGTACATTACAAAGGGGGACAGAACATGTGACAGAACAATACCAATACAATGCAAAACATGAGGGGATTGAGGGCCCTGCTCTTTCGAGCTTACAATCTAGGAGGAGTATTAGAGGCTTAATTAAATATTTGTGAAGCCAACTTTAATAAGGATAACGCAATTTCCCCATCAATCCTGTACAATGCAAACTGCTGGTCTTGCATTGCATGGAATGACTTTAGAGTGCTGCAACAGATTGGGCAATGAAAGAAAGACCAGCCTTGCAAAGAGGAGGCAGACTGCGGGAGCAAGGAATAAGGTAATTTTTACTTTATCATCCCTTTAGGCAAACTGAGCAGTTATTTCTTGCAGTGGGGAGGGGGACCCATTGAAAAAGCATCCCTGGAGCCCAGCTTTAAAGTATATGTCTAACCGAAACGTTTTTCAGTTTTAAAGCAAAAAATCGATTGAAACCCCTGTCAAGTTTTACTGCTACCCAGGGATCTACCAGAAAGATTTTCCCTCAATTACTATCACAGTGACAATGATTTCACCAGAAAGGAGGTGAGGGACAATCTGTAATTGCAACACAAACAGAAATAAAACCGTTTTTTATTAGGAGAGTAGGGGAAGGCTAGAACCACTGTTTGCTATTTAATTGTGTTACTGTTGGATATTTAAGCCAACCACAGATGGAGCGATTTTTCTTTCCTGCAACCGCGGGTTGCAGAAAAGAAAATTGCTTGATTCTCCCATCAATACAATTAGTGTTGATGGGGGAATCCCTCCCGTGTGGCTATTGTGTTCTTTCGGCAGGGGATCGGTCCCAGCTGGGAGAACACAGTGATTACTGCTAGCGGCTATAATAGTCTCTCTAGCTATAATCGCATGTAAAATTGGACAGTCTGGTTGTACTCAAGTTGATCGAACAATTTGGGTACAATCAGCCTGCCCATACATGGTTCAAATCTCATGAGGTACCTGATGAACCGACTGAGATTCACACGGTCTATAGCCGGCTTTACCCTCACCTCCTTTCTGGTAAAACTGTCATCAACATGAATGTAATTAGGGGAAATCTGGATATGGATGTACACTTTAAAGTGTATCTCTAGGCTAAATGTTTTAATTTCCCTAATGGTACACAGGCTCCAAAGAAGTAACCGGATGGCGGTTTTAATCCATCCCACTCTGTCGAAAACTAAAAAGAGAAAATAAAAAAAAAAGTTTTGGTTGTACATAAAATTTATGTTTCTGTTGTATTTTTGTCAAGTGATTTGATCTTCCAAAATGCAGTAGACATTCTTCAACCAAACTAAATACTTTTTCCCTTCTCGTAGGAAAAACCCACCTTACAGCAGTTTACCACCACATGCAATCTTTGTCAACACTCTGGGAATTCTCATTGTGGTCTTTGGTGGACTTATTATATGGATAGCCACTCGACCAGACTGGAAACGGCCTCCAGAGCCTACAGTGAAGGAGCATTCTTCCTATAGAGAGACATCTATTCCTCCCCCAGAGTACAGCAAAACAGACAAGTCTGATGTGGAATTAAATAGTGAAGCAGCCAGAAAAAGAAATCTAAACTTGGATGAAGCTGGGCAAAGGTCAACCATGTAAGAGCAGTCCAAATGAACATGGAATCCTCTGAAATTCTGTGTCATGGGAAGACCACAATTCTGACGAATTAAACGAAACATTCTGCAATATATTATTGTGTATAATCATTAATTTCTCTATGAAGGCTAATTTGATGACTTAGTAAAAGCAATAACTGATCATAGGTGCTTTTACAAAAGAGAAGAGAAGCTGTTAACGCAACCAAGAACAAAGCTGGAGGAACTGGACTGTGTTTTTATAAAATGTTCTCTGGTATCGCAAAATTTTTTTTACTGTTTTGAATATGCATTTAGAACAGGCCGCGATGGCCTTAACATTATATGTCTGTAACATCATATATACAGTACATGTATTCTTACTTACCAAATATGCAATTCATTATAGTGGATCAGTTTGATTATACTGCTGAAGAAGGGTAGTGCTTTTTACAAGTGCTGTAGTTATGGCAAGGGATGTCAATGCTCTGCTGACTCCATAATCTAAGTATTTAACGAAGTGTTAATAGCATTTTGGGGTTGGCTAACAGACGTTTTTGATAATAAACCTGCAACTCTTCATGGGTCTTATGAAAAGCTTTAGTTTTCCAGGCAGAGCCTTGAAAATGATTGTTAAACAATAAAATAAAAAATAAAACTTTGTTTGCTTAAAAAATTGCACACTGGTGAATGACCAATAATTTGGCTTCTTAAAGTGAAATTGCAGCTGGATGTTTGTGTGGGGAGAACATGGTCCACACTTCAATAATTTTGTGATCTGAAAATAGTAACATTTCCATTTATTTAGTGCTGTTAGGCAAAGGCTCATCTGAAACTAGGTACATTAAGATAAACATTTGTCTTAGATTGTGTAAGTGAACAAAGTGTTTTATACTGGAAAAAAGTAACATCTGCATTCTGATGGCAGCAAAGCCCTTAATCTGTAGAGTGCTGCAGTACACTAGCACTTGAGTTCTAAGCAGAAGCAAAGCAGGAGCGGACACCAACTTACCATAAAAAAGAATGGTAAGGACTGGGTACGTTTTTATACATTGTCCAATTAGCTGTTCTCATTGGACAGCGTACTTTGCAGAGCCTGTAAATTAGAATAGCAGACCACCCTGATTTGTGTTTCCCTTGCTGATGAACCACTTGTGCAGCAAATGAAGGTGGAAGGGGGCTACATTTTCCCAGAAAGTCCTGCTTTCCACATATGCAGCAAAGCAGTTCTTTTTAAAGCTGATGTTCAGATAACAGGAAATATGACACAGAACAGCATAGAAAACCTGATACCATTTATTTATATCCCAGATGTGATTCTAAGAACACCTTTGCATTAAAAGGTGGAAAGAAAAATGTATTTTAATTCTAATTTATTTCAAATCATCCAAAGACCAATGGGTCTGATTCAAGGAAAAAATTGCAGGGGTCTTAAAAGGCATCTAAATGGGAAAAAAAGCAGTGACAAATATCTTGTGGAATGACCTTTTTATAAGATATGTTCCTAGATCTGTCAAGATTAAAAATGCACAGAAATTAATCAGGAAAGAAATCAAGAGGAATCTCCCATAAACTTAGATTTATCTTTTTTATGAGACTTTTTATTTTTCCTGATTTTGTGTAGCAGCCCTCATAACGATTAACATGAACTTTCTGAAATGGTAAGCATGAGGAAACCATTGTCTTATTGAGAGGGTCATTTTAAAAGGTTTGTGCGTAATTCATGTTGTATACCTCCCAATTTTCTAAAATGGGACAGAGATACATTTACTGTAGCAAAATATTTAAAAATATTGTTTTTTCAGAAAAAAAACAGTATAGTACAAGCACATGTAAGATTCATTGACACTGCATAACCAGGGTAGGTACAGTATTTAGGCCTGATGAGGGTCACACAGAGCTATAAAATAATGGAGGCTTCTGTACCCAACAGGATAATGTAGCTGAAGACACTACCTAATATGGATTACGAATAAAGAACCCTGTGCCAAGAGGTCTGTAAAAAAGAGGAGGGAGGGCATTTAATACACACTGCAGAGGTCAGTAGTATGCAAATTAGATTAGATTCAACTGTTGTCATTACACATGTAAAAATACAGGAACTGGTTAACAGGGGATATGACCAACATATATTGACAAAAAAGAGAAACTATCTGGTACCAATGGCCCCTAGGGTGCCAGTTATACAGTTGTGTTCAAAATAATAGCAGTGTGTTGAAGAAAGGTGAATAAAGCTCAAACTCCTTCTAATAGCTTTTATTTCCATACACACAAATGCATTGGGAACACTACACATTCTATTCCAAATCAAAACTTGAAGAAAAATATATCAAATTTGTTTTGTTCCTCTAAAAAAAAAAATTTAAGAAAAGTGAATATTAGACTGTTCAAAAAAATAGCAGTGTTCGTATTCTTCTTTACAAACTCAAACATTCACTATATAAACTGAAAAATGTTTGAAGATTTTGCTTTCCTTTGAATCACTTAATTAATATTTAGTTGTATAAGCACTGTTTCTGAGAACTGCTGTACATCTGTGTTGCATGGAGTCAACCAACTTCTGGCACCTGTGAACAGGTATTCCAGCTCAGGATGATTGGACTACATTCCACAGTTCTTCTCTATTTCTTGGTTTTGCCTCAGAAACTGCATTTTTTTTTATGTCACCACACAAGTTTTCTATTGGATTAAGATCCGGGGATTGGGCTGGCCACTCCATAACATCAATATTGTTGGTCTGGAACCAAGATGTTGCATGTTTACTGGTGTGTTTGGGGTCGTTGTCTTGTTGGAACACCCATTTCAAGGGCATTTCCTCTTCCGCATAAGGCAGCATGACTTCTTCGAGTATTCTGATGTATTCAAACTGATCCATGATCCCTGGTATGCGATAAATAGGCCCAACACCATAGTATGAGAAACATCCCCATATCATGATGCTTGCGCAACCATGCTTCACTGTCTTCACAGTGTACTGTGGCTTGAATTCGGTGTTTGGGGGTCGTCTGACAAACTGTCTCCGGCCACTAGACCCAAAAAGAACAATCTTACTTTCACCCATTTCTCTTTAGGCCAGTCAATGTGCTCTTTGGCAAATTGTAACCTCTTCAGCACATGTCTTTTTTTTCAACAGTGGGACTTTGCGGGGGCTTCTTGCAGATAGCTTGGCTTCACATAGGCGTCTTCTAATTGTAACAGTACTCACAGGTAACTTTAAACCTTCTTTGATCTTCCTGGAGCTGATTGTTGGCTGAGTCTATGCCATTTTGGCTATTCTATCCATTCCAATGGTAGTTTTTTTTCGCTTTCTTCCACGTCTTTCAGGTTTTGATTGCCATTTAAAAGCATTTGCGATCATTTTAGCTGAGCAGCCTATCATTTTCTGCACTTCTTTATATGTTTTCCCCTCTCAAATCAACTTTTTAATCAAGGTACGCTGTTCTTCTGAACAATGTCTGAAATGACCCATTTTCCTCAGAATTTCAGAGAGAAATGCACTGTAACCAGCATGTACAACATGTGCTGCCTTCCTTCCTTAAATAAAGGCAATAATTGCCACCTGTTTTTCAAAGAATGGATGCCCTCACTAATAGAACTCCACACTGCTATTATTTTGAACATGCCCCTTTCAATTAGTGATTCAATTACACAGAATCAGCAGCATGCATGTCATGACTGTTGGGTCTGTTGGATTTCTATTACTCTACTACACCTGCTAGTAAATTATTTGCCATGTAGAAATATCAACTCTACCAAAAACAGTGATTGATCAGGTTAGTGATGTCTGACTGCTATTATTTTGAACACAACTGTATATCATTTGCCTAAAATACATAAAAGTTTAAACAATACACCTGGGCGACCTATTATTAGCAGCATTAACTCTATTACATCACGTATTGGAGAATACATAGATGAGTTTTTGCAGGCCTTAGTGGTTTGCACCCCGTCCTATTTGAGGGATATGACACACGTGTTAAACCTTCTTGGAGAGTTTTCATGGAAAGAGGGATATGTTCTAGTCACACTTGATGTGGCTTCTTTCTACACTATCATCTCACATGAATATGTAGCAGCTGAATACTACTTGGGAGGTTATAATGGATTACCAGATAGTCAAAAATGTTTCACTTTAGATCTTCTTTCCTTTGCCATGACACACAATTTGTTTTGGTTCAGGGGAGAATACGCTTTACAATGATGTGGTGTGACCATGGGGGCTAAGTTTGCCCAAGCAAGGCCAATCTCTTTATGGCAAAGTGGGAGGACATCATCTATCTATAACCCAGTTGGTGTTTTGGCGGAGGTACACAGACAATGTCCTCCTTGTTTGGAATGGCAATTTGGATTCCCTTAGTGGATTTATTAGCCATTTAAACAATAATGACAGGAGTATTTGCCTAGACTGTCAAGCAAGTGTGGTGGAGGTCCATTTTCTGGATCTCTGCATCAGAGTGGTCAATAACAATCCTTCTACCACTACTTATTTTAAAGAGATGGATAGCAATTCTTTCATTCCCCTTTCAAGTTGCCATCACCCATCATGGCTGAAATCAGTCCCCATAAGTCAATTTCAGAGAATATGTAGGAACTGTGCAGAGCTTGATGACTACTTTTTCAGGCTAATATTTTGAAAAACATTTTTAGAAAGGGGGTTATGACTCAAAGAAGGTGGATGAGGTTATAGACCAAGTAGGTAAAATGGATTGTAACGCAATGTTAACTATTAAAGCTAAAGACCAAGAGGTGGAAAACATAATTGGTCTTTGGTCACAGGATATGCAACACAGTATTATGCATTGGTCGCTGCTTAGGGGCAAGCTAATTTTGACGTTTATGCTTCCGTAACACCCCACAGTGGTCTATAGAGGGGTTCCGGCTTTAAGAGATAAGGTAGCATGGAATGTGTTAGATCCTCCTATTAACCCACTTATTTGGGTCTTATGTTGGTTTTTACCCTTGTCATAAATGACATACTAACTGTTTTAAGGAAAATTACAACTTTTCATTCTCAACCCACAAATA